ATTAAATTAGTTTTCCTTTAAATTCCAGCTCATGGAACTTGGGCGTGAATTTCCGACGTTCGAGCCGACGAATCCTTTATTGTGTGGCTTTTTCATCAGAATTACAAACAATTGCCTGGAGAACGCTTTTTAATCCTGACCAATAAAGCAATCGGGCTAGTTCTCGCAATGGCGTCTTCCAGCAGTTCCAGTCCGGTTGAAGAAGCTCTCATCCTCTCCTTCATCCCTCTCACTAGAATTTGACCCTCTATTGTGCTCTCTCCTATTTCTTTTTCCTCATCTTTCCACCTCTCTCTCTCTCTCTCTCTTCTCTTTCTCCCTTCTTTTCTCTCGCTCTCTCGAGACCACCGATAGCGATGCTCGACTCTCTCGTCGCTTTTTAAAACAATCGGCGCTCGTAAACAACGTCATTCCCAGCCCTTTGTTTCCACCGTCATCTTGCAGCGAGCTGCAGTTAACATGCTGGTTGTTGCTACACGGACAATTATTTTTATTGCTCGCATCCGACGTGTTTCCGACGGCAGCGGTTTTAGACATTCATTCATCCTGAGATATAATCCACAATGTTGGTGCATCCCTATTTGGATTTTAATGATAAATGTTTATTTCACTTCAAGTCTGTACAATCACATGTACAATACACTCCAAGTGCACTAACGATTCTTTCAGCCATTTTATATAAACTTAATTATTATTTTTATTATATTACTTTTGTATCTCACACAAAAGTATTAGTATTAAATAAATGTTTTTATTTAGATAAGAATATTACATTTCATGATATTTCATGAAAAGTAGATATAAAGTTGAAAAAAATAAACATTTGTTTTTAATAACTATTTCAAATAATATTAAATAGAAAGATATGAAAACGTAAATAAATGTAAAACTTGTAAACTGTAATTATAAAAACATATATATCGAATATAGAGAAAATAATTAATTTACTTTTACGTTTGCGTTTCCGGAAACTTTTTGATTTTGCAGTTATATTAGTACTTTCTGAAAGGAAACTTTATACTTGCATCTTAATTTAAACATTTATACAGTAAACTCACCTTTTTACTTGAAGATGTTACTGATTTTGTTTTTATTTCTTAATGACATATGACCGATTCATATGAAAAATTATTATCGTCATCGCTGTTGCTATTACTTAAAAAATCTACCTGGCGGTCATTCCGCGCGAAAGCTTTAAAGCCTTTGAAACAGTAGACGAAAGCTCTTAGCATGTCGAAGTCGGTTACTGGCGAGCGTTAAATGGAGCTCGACGATTTAAGAGCGGCATGCAATCAAGTGAAACATGATTATTTGTTATAGTATTACGACATTTCAGCATTAGAAGATTTTAGTAAAAATATTAGAAAAAACACAAAATTACACAATACATAAATGTAAATTCAATTTAAGTCTAATTCCAGTTTTTAACATTAATTTTTACAAATTTAATTTTAAATTAAATTATAAGTTAACGTTTAATCAAAGATTTATATAAGTAAATAAATATATTTATAGCGTCTTAATTTAATTTCTTATATATACATATATGTATAGAAATATCGTATCTAATATTCTATATATATATGTGTATATAGTACATAGGTAAAAAAGGACAGTTTTACTGAGGTATTTAAAAATCGAGCTAGATACAGATATGAAAATAATTTTGTTGAATTATCAAAATAATTATGTAGGACGTTTAAACTGGTTGCCAGAATATCAGAACTTTTTGCAGCAGTGCTCGTCCTATTTCAGATTTCTACATAATTATTTTCCGCATAATTATTTCAATGATTCGACAAAATTATTTTTGAATCTATATCCAGCTAAATTAAAAAAATTTTGAATTATCGAAATAATTATGTAGAACGTTCAAACACTGGTTGCCAGAATATCGAAACTTTTTGCAGCAGTGCTCATCCTATTTCAGATTCCTACATAATTATTTTCTGCATAATTATTTCGATGATTCGACATTATATTGTCGAATTATTTTCGAACGTATATCTAGCTAAATTTTTAAGTACTTAGCAAATTCGTTCTTTCGGTGGCATATGTTGTAGAAAAGTATAATATACACTCTAAATTTCTTACAGCGAAATCTCACTCCAAGAAAGTGAAAATACAACCACCCTTAAAAAAAAGTGAAAATATTTCACTTCTTAAAAAAGAGCGATAATTTTCATTCTTTTTAAAGTGAATTTTTACTTCAAAGGAGTGAAATCTCATTTTTTTAAAAATGAGATTGTACTCTAAAAAGAGTGAAGATTGTAATTTTTTTTCAAAAAGTGAAATATTTTCACTTTTTTTCAAAGGTGGCTGCATTTTTACTCTCTTGGAGTGAGATTTCACTGCAAGAAATTCAGAGTGTAACATGTAATTTAAATATACATATATTAACAGAATTAATTTTCTTTATTTCAATATAATACGAAGTATCTAACCAAAGGATATAATTCTCAGTGCACACTCCGCTCTTATTGTTTAGACAAATACTGTTCCGCGTTTATCTCTTAAGGGGGGTTGTTCTGGGCGCCGGAGCGCATCTCGCCTTTTAATTTTACCACGGCGATCTGGCCGTCGCGATTCCGGCGAGGGACTCTCTAGGATTAATGGCAGGCCGGCTGGGAGGACAAGAGTGTTGAACAGCGACGATTAAGCGTCGTCGCATAAGAATGCATCCCGAGCGCATAATAATCCCGGACGATGCCTCATCGCAGCAATAAATGTCTCGCCAAGCGACGCCCGGTGTCATCGCGCTGAAGAGAAAAGGCGGATAAATTGAAATTACCTTCCATGCATCCCTCGGAAGGACTGCTCTAACCCGCAACTAAGCCTGCCATCCCTCCATCGTCAGAGTTAAGTCTCCGTAAACAACGAGTGACGGCTGTGAAAGAAAAGCCGGTTGACTTATTACGTTCATTGATCGTTCTGGGTGGCCATGTATATAGTTTCATGGAGCCATTCGTTTAATAGATGATATTTATATATTGTATAATAACGCTAACGAGCAAATTTATTTACCGTAATCTCCGAAGCGAAAAAGAGATACTTCAATTATCGAAATGTATATCACCGCAAACTTTATCATTTGTCGCTATTTTCATACGCGAGCTGAAGTCCAACATGAACGGCGGTTTCTTGCGCGAGTTTGCACGCGGCTTTCATTAGCGGGAGTTACCAGCCGGAAGGCAAAAGCGCGGTTAAAGTTGGGAAGCTGATTGGAGTACCTCGGCGGTTTACCGCTCTTCCCTCCTCTCCCTCCCCCCAAGTCTCACCACTTCCTCTCTTTTCTCCTATTCCCTTCAATCGTTTTCCAACTTTTCGAAAAGCAGCCGCGTTCATTAAGCGTAAAACAAACAATTCCGTTGAAATTCAATGATCTTGTTTATTCTCGCCAAAAGTTACCCCGCCATATTTGAAAAAATTAAAGCTATTGTTCGATTAGCGTTCCTTTGATTTTATTTTATTTTTTTGCTGATTGCCTCCCAACTTTTCGGATGTTTTCCAAGAGGAGCTCCGCGCCATTCGGGAATACGATATTGTGGATAATTTCCCCAGCACGCTTCTGTCTTCGAATTACGGCTCATTTCATTCTGAACAAATTAGGAAATAAATTTCATAACGCCATTCTCAAACAATTTAATTTCACGGATGTAAAGCTGAAAGGGTTAATCAGCGGAGAAAATTAACGGACGATTTTTTTGCAATAAGAAGATTTGGACAAAGTTGGCGAGCTCCAAGGAGACCCATCGATTTTACAATCTATCTCCCCCCCTTGCGCAGACTATTATCTCTCCCCCCTCTCTCTCTCTCTCTCTGTTTCTCTCCTTTCTCCTGATAACCCGACATCCTCCAGCGGAAAACGAGGGGTTGGGGGAGGATGGTTCTTTTCTTTTTCTTAATGTAGGTACGTCGCTGATTCGCAGTTAATGAAGCGAGAATGAACGCCGGCAGGAGAAAAAAGACACGTTTTGTAGAAATGGGGTACGTGCGTCTGTGAATTTTTCGCGACGGCCGCCGAGATAGGAATTTTTTTTGCAACTCGCGCAAGTGAAAATCTCGCGCGTAAATGGCCCGGTCAGGTTGAAGTTATGGTACCGAGAAGTACGCCCGCGCCGCACTTTTCCTGCTGCTGCAGTTGCGATTCTTTCCTACGTTAGCGTACCGGAGAGGCTATCGAGTGCGGAATATTAGACAATTCATTTACCGAGTTACTTAAATAAAAATCTCATTAAAAGAGGTACGATGTATGAATACATTATTATAAAATTAATAATTAATGAACTACTGTTAACCCTTACCGTACCATCTACAATTTGCTGCCTCATCCGTACCATCAAGGGTCACTTCAAATCTCTTCGTTTTTTCACCTCTTCAAAATAATTCAAAAAATCTCTAAAAATTCACCAACATACTTTCAACTTTCTAGAATAAATATTGACTCTTTATTTTGGAAAATAATGAAATGTAGTATAATTTATAATTACCGAAGGACTCAAAGAAACTTGCACGAACAGGAATCGCTCGGTCACTAGTTACCCATATTAGTACGGTAAGGGTTTTAATTATAATAATTAAATAAGATTTAAAAAGTAATATTTGAAACAGATTAATTATTTGTTAATTCCTGCCATTTTTCGTCTCCAAAATTGATTTGTTTCGAAGGGAAATACCTTAATCAAAGTATTATTAATAAAGTATTATTAATTAGTAATGAAGTAGAAAATGGAGGAAATTACTTTGATTAAGGTATCCATTCATCTTCCCTTCGAAACAAATCAATTTTGGAGACGAAAAACGGCAGGAATTAAGTTCAATACCTAATACTTGTAGCATTTATCAATTTTTTAAAGCCAAAGCAACAACTTCCAAACTATTAATGCAAGACTTTTCTCTGCCTTTCTCTTTCTTTATTGAAATTAATTAATCTCGTAGTAAAATAAACTCCGATGTTTTTCTTATCGAGTTGTCTACTTAATATCTACCCTCTGTTACAGCCTTTCCGTTACCGCCGCCTTGTAGTTACGTGAGGTACAGCAGCCTGGAAGACGTGAAACCGAAGGAGTTGGGCTTCCCTCAATTAGAATTCACGCCCACGGTCGTCTCAAAAATACGGTAAGACTGCTCTGCTTGCCCTGCTCATTCTTATAATCACGCCATTGTTAACTCACTATTAAGAGGGAGACGAACGCGCCCTGCGAGCTGTCAAGACGGCTTCTTAAAGGGTCTGAATTTAATTATCCTGGGTCGGTAACCTTCCCACCCCTTCTCCTTTCCTACCGGAACGGAGTGCCGCCCGAGCAGCAAGCGAATCTCCTAATTAGCGATGCGGTAGCTGCCTTTTGCACGCACAGGGAAAATTTGCGTCGCAAACACGGAAGGGTGGTCCGGCGTAAAGGGCGAACTCGTTTCAGCGCGACGAAAGCGGCAGCGTCCTATTTTGCTTACAGCGCAAACTAATTACGTTCGGTAATCGAACGCGCGATCGAATCACAGTCAATCAGAAAATTCCGCGTCTGAAATCCGCGACGTCGAGACAGAGTAATGGCGTAAAATAAAACTGACTTGTTAATAATAGAATAGGATTTTTTTAAAAAGAAATAAGAACAAAAGAGAAGATAAAAGTAAAAGAAAGAAAAGAGAAGAAGAGAGAGAGAGAGAAGAGAAAAGGGGAAAGATAAATAGAAATCGTATTTATTTGAGCGCTCTAGGATATCTCTTCAAGCGTTAAAATTATTATTACATTCATAACAAGCAAAAGTCGGTATAAGTGTCAATAGGAAACTGATCGGTACATGTAAAGTATAATATATAGGATATAGAAAAACAAAAAGAAAATTCAATTCGAATAAGAAATAAGAAAGAGATGATGACAATTAAATAAAATATAATAAAGCAAGATTAAATAAATATGATTTAAAATAAAATAATCTGAAATTACAAAGACAAAAATACAAATATTTACAAAAATACTAGAGAAAAGATATGATTTATGCTTAAAATTAAACGAGACACAAGTAGTATTAAGTATAACAAATAAAATACTTATTATTTCTTGCTTTAATAGCATTGCATCTGAAAGATGTTTTTAAAAACTTCGTTTGACATAAAGGACCTGATAGAATGTTGTTAGTTGTTTGCGCATGAAGTACTTTTCTTAAACTTGAGCACGTCAGAACATTAGCCCCCTTTGCAATATTAAATGCTTTAAGCATCTTGCTATCTTAATAATTAATTGCAAAATAGGATATTTGTAGATACTTTAGCAAAGCTGTTGAACGCAGGCATTAACATTTCTTCCTTGTTGAAATATTGCTTTCATGTATCGTGTGTATCTACAGAGATACTGTAATAACCTTTATATTAATTCGTATTGCAAATAACTTCGGTACTGTGACGGTTAAATTTTATTCCACGTTAAACACGGACTTGGATGGCATTAAAGAATCGCGGTTAACCAATGTAACGTCTTTACTTAGTGCGTTACAATTATATATGATCCATGTGTGTCAGAGGCCGATACACGAACGTGTACCTTTCATCTCACGATCAACAGTCTGACCTCTCTCATGGAAAAAAAAGCTGTTTATCTTCGAACGTTCGAGAGAGCTTCAATTTTAAAGATTTAAATGCACACAATCCTTCGATTTGATTTATCTTAAATCCTATGGTGTAGAGACGACTTAAATATTCTATATACATATCGTGTAAGCAGTGCAAAACATCATGTATTATATTATTATTTTTATTACATTAACGTTATCATTGTGCTATAAACTATTTTCAACAAAATCCGGGAATAACTGGTAGAATTTGCAAATATTTGCCGTTGACTTTGAGTATCGATTTTGAAATACTGATTACATAGTAAAGGGCTCAGCAGGAGGAATAGAGATAGAGAATGGAGCGATGGATAAAATTGGTAGATTTGGCAAACAAGCAATGGACGCAGCACGAGCTAGAAAAATCATATTGACTGGTCAAGTCAAGTAATTCAGAACGTACGAACCTCTGTGTTACCTAAATTATTTAAACAGGAATTCAGCCGCGTTGACCGCAAGGATGCACATTTAATCAAAGGGCGATTGCGCTATTTCGGTGGTGAGTTTTGGAAATTCTCGAGGTATTCCGTGGATCCGCGGGAATCCTTAGAGACACCTACAAACGCTCAAAGATTAGCAATATCTCACAGAGGATCAAGATGTCGTCCGAGATCTCTAGAGATATGTAAAAACGACGATCAACATTCGAACGCGCGTGAAATAAAAAATTGAATTAACATTTTTGTCAGATCGAACATTAGCTGGTATTTGAGGTTTTTATTACTAGATCCTATTAGTAGTTTGATAGAGCGTCAGTCTAGATCGTATTCAATTTATGTTAGATCGTGGTTTAATAAGACTCCCAATTTCGCTTGAAAATGACATTTTAGATCCAAGGTAAAGCTACAAAACACGAAGACACTTTAGTCGATCTTCGATATTCCGCCATCGTAGCGACGAGTATTACAGAGAAGAGGCACGGTAGTATTAGTATCTGAAGCAGTATCGCGTCGTACACACTCATGCACGATTCGCCTTGGCACAAAGGAACGTGTCCTGTATGACGTGCCAAGGCTCCGAATGATCTCTGTCTTTCTTCCTCCCTTTTCCTCCCTTCCTTCCCTTCCGCCCCTCTTTCTCTCTGGTCCTCTCTTTTGCTTCTACCTATGTTTCCCCATCCGTGCATCGCGTAGATAGAGGAACAATATAATTTAGTTATTGAGACTCTACCGATAACGTTGCGGCCAGGACAGCCATTGATGTGGCTTGATTAACGAAAATTCTCCTTAGTCGGCAACGACATGTCTTCTGTGTGTATGTACGAGCGTTCGCCCAGCCGATGTTTACGCGAACATTCCTGAACGCCATGGGCTAAATTAATCGGTGCGATGTGGCTGGTAATTGAAGGACCACCAGGGGAAATGGTATCCTCCACTTTATGAAGACTAATTATCACAGAGAGAAGGAAAAGGTTCGATAGCCTCTTGGTTTGCTTTAATAGGTACTAGTAGATAATTTTCACGGAATAGTTAAAGTCGAAAGTGCCAAATTAAACGGAGACGTTATAAAATATCAATGTTTTATTGTTACTTTTATCTTCAACTTGCTGTACGAAGTTGATGAAAACTTTCTGCCCTGTTTTTTTTTTTATAATCGACTGTATATTTGCGCGAAATATATTAAAACAGGTCAATTTTAAAAGAGAATGTATAATTATGATAAATTCAATTACACTACTTTATCCACTTGTGTGATTAGGATAGATCTTTAAAAAACTTTAAATGACAATTAGAGTCAAATAACACATCGTTTTAAAAGTTTTATCATTCTTTGTACAACTGTTATTTTGTTTCTTTATTTAGGCGAGTATTTTCTTCAGAAATCATATTTTGAATGTTATATGCATAGACGTTATAAAATAAAAATTAGCAACCTACGGAAAAATGTATTTTAATAAATGTTCGAAATTTATTTTTATGAACGGTCAAATTGTCTTCTACAAAATTTTATAAATAAGTCTCCATTTCAATTTATTGCAAATATTTTGAAAAATTTCTGATGTTATTCTATGGCACTTATCTACTATCTGCTGAAGAAGATTCAGTTGAGCGGCTTACAAAGTCGTCTGATTTTTCTCTATTAATTTTTTTTCTTTGAGGATACCCATTTAAAAAATAAAATTTGTGTCGCAACGCTAAACAGATACAAAATCTATGTCAAAAGATAGAGTGCCATGGAATAACGCTGGAAATATCCGCAACAACTTTAAGCTGAATTTTTATTATTACATGGAGGTTGGTGGAAAACATTTTAAACATTTAGCAAAATAAATTTTTCTGTAAATTGCGAATTTTCAGCTTTTACTACCTAAAACTTTCAAATGCGATTTCTCAAAAAACATTCATCTAAATTTTAAGAAGAAAACACATTTTGTAAAGAGAATTAAAAGATTTTTTGAGGCTATGTCAAACTACGCATTAGAGATTGAGAATTGCGAATTCGGTCTGTCAGAACGAAACGATTAAAATTCAAATTATCTTGTCAACTTCCAATCTTCAATTCGCAATTTCCAGTCTCCAATGTGTAGTTTGATGCAGAATTAAAATGATGTGACAATTAAATGTTGCCATTCAAAATTTTTTGGAAGATATTCTAATCAAGAGAATAAAGCCAGACAGTTTGATCCATCACAATTATATATTCCTTTTGAAAAGTTGACGTATTTTTCAACATATTTCGAACAAATCAGTCAATTACAAAAATAACGGGGTAAAAAGTTTTTATTGACTTACTCTGTACATCGAAATAAATTCATAGAATTCTCTAATCAAAAACGAAAAAGAACGTAGCATCCTATAGATATCTCTTTTCATATTTTTGGCAATCTTTTTAAAAAAAAAAAGCGATTGAAAAAGGATTTTAATATCTTCAATGAACCAAAGAATTCTTCAAGTCTTATATTGTCTTTCAGATAGCCGATAGATCTTTGAGAACGCTTCGAAAAGTTTAGATGTCTTAAAGAATCTTAGGAAAGAGTCTAAGAGGCTTATGAAAAATTCAAATAATTTTCGAAAGAAGAAACGATCAAATCTTCTACGTTTCTCGAGCATTCTGGCACAGCTGGAGATTCTTATATTCTCGAAGTGAATCCCGTGGGAAATATTGTTGGGCGTCTCCGGAGATTTTTATAGAGCGGACGACGGGCGGAATGCCGTACGACTGTCTCGCAGAAAATAATCTCGCGGCGTCGCCCCGCACGAGTTCAAGCGCCGAGTAAACGCCGGGAGTTTGCCGAATTGCGGAGATTTCGCCACTGGGACCGGCCATTTCAAACGACAATCACATTAGTACGGGCTGTGGAGCAACTGATTACTGTGGACTTCTCATTCGCTCTTTGATAGTTCTGCGCGCCAAGTTTCGGCCGCGAAGCTCCGTCAAAGCCACCGGAACTCTGCGTAAACTCATCCATTCCGGCCACAAAACTTCCCCTTGGAACAGTCGCTGTCGTCGTGCCAAATCGTCGTGCTGAGGAACTGCCGACCGCTGTGTCGCGGACACAGATCGTCGACAGCT